CCACCCCGAAACCAAAGTTTCTCAGCGGATTTGGGCTGTACTCAGCAAGCGCAGTACAGCCCCGAAGTCAAAACAAAAAAAAAATCAGAGGAAGACTGTTTTCTGAGCCATCGGCTACCGCCGACCGGTCAGCCCCGATCGGTCGGTACAATACGGTCGGCCGTCGGCCCGACCGGTCGGCGGGGATGCAACCCTGGTCGTTAAATTATAATTTTAGGTTTTGCGACTTTTCTCCATATTGCGCAAATTAGGGAATCGCTAATTACGAGTAACCTAATTAGCGCTAATAAGGGTTAGTCCTAACCTAATCTAAACGGCCTATCAACCTATGGGAAGTAGGTGCCAGCCAGGCATTGCGCCAGTTAAGGAAGATCGGGCCTGAGCACAGCCACATTCAAACTGCAACTTCACGGAAGTTTCACTTTTTGCAAAATGCATCTTTTATTGCATTGAAAGCTTGAATCTTCCCAGCAAATTGTGTATGTTCCTATTACCATTCATCTTCTACTTACTTAGTAACCGCGTGATGATGCTAAATTCTGCCGATTAAAATTTCGTGAAAATATTGAACTGATGTTTAAATGTTTACACTTGCTTAAACTTTGTTCATTTTTATTTGTGCAAATTTAAATATTCTTTAATTAAATATTTAATTTTTGCAAAATTAATTATTGCAAATTTAAATATTCTTTAATAAGTTTAATTAAATATATAATCTTTGCCAAAATTAAATTTTAATTAATTCATATTTTTTCGATTAAAATTTATTTAATTTCTCAAAATTCGAAATTTTTCGAGGGGGGGGAGGGCATTTTTTTTTCTTTTCTCTCTTTGATTAGTGTCAAATTTCGAGGTCAGGGGAGAAAGGGACTGTCTGTGCATTGTTTGCCTCTTTGCCCTTCCTCCACCCCTACCTTCTCTCTCTCCTCCTCTCGGTACTACGGAGGTCAGTCTCCCGCCACGTCAGCATTGTGCCACATCAGCAGCGGGCCACAAACGCAGATTGCCACATCAGCCGCGTGCCACCTCAGCGTGCCACGACAGCCGAGTGCCCAGTCCGCAGCGGCCACCTCAGCAGTGCCACCTCAGCGGTGACACATCAGCAGCAGACGAAGACCAGAGTACTTAATGCGCCGCAGTCAACGACTTGCGGAGCGCGGATCCGCAGGAACCAAGCCCCAACAGGGATCTAAGACACCTCGGATCCCGCGCAGGCGACACACTACCATGGCTGCTACCGCCGACGTCAATGCACAAGCCAGCCCCAAGAGGCCGGTTACCCCTCCTATCCCAGTTCAGCAGTCCGATGAACCACTTCTAGCGTTCCTCAAACGACTCCAATTCTACTCGGAGACCACGACAGCTGAACTGAGCAAGTGGGAAAAGGAGGAAGCCGCCCGCCAGCAGGAAATTCAACGCCAGCTGGCAGAGGCAGAGGCAGCACGTCAGCAGGCCGCAGCAGAAGCTGCAGCAGCCGCACGGTTGCAACAGCAGCACGTCGAGGCAAGTCAAAACCAAGTTCGTTACCAAGCTACAATGGAGCTCGCCAACGAAGAAGCCACGTACCGGAGGTTACTCCGACAGCGGCATTTTCGAGCAAACGAGGAACAAGAGGAGCCGACCAAGGACGAGAGAAACAAGGAGGCCACAACAGTTTTGATGGAGAATCTGCTGTACACGTGCAAGTGGCAGCACCGTGAACTGTTGGCCATGCGGCAGGTCTTCATCCGCCACGAAACGACGTTTAAAGCATTGCACAAGAAGAACGCTACCATGCAGGCCGAACTCAGCACACTACACGCCGCCAACAGCCAGCAGCAGACAATCAACAGCCAGCTGCAGAACGATGTCAGCACAGGGTTGGCACAACTATCGGCAGCTGCGTCGACGGGCAGCGCAATGGCAGACTGCAGCCCAGCCTTGGCCGCGCAGGCCAAGCAACTCGAGGAGCGGATCAACCACGTGGTCGCGTCCCTCGACGACATCAACAAGTTTGTTGGAACGTCGACAGTCAGCAATCAACTGCAGACGCTCAGCGACCGCGTTCAGCAACGACCGGCCGTTGTCGCCAAGGAATGGAAGATGCCGAACTTCAAGATCAAGAAGTTCGATGACTACCGCAAGACTGATCCGCTGCAATGGTGGATGGCTTTCAACGCGGAGGCGGATGTACATCACACTCCAGAACTACGGCAGCTTGACGCACTCAACCTCCAACTCATCGGAGGGGCGCAGGCTTTCATGACCCACATGGCCGTCACGTTGGAATGCACCATCGCCACCCTCCACACCAAGATTACGTGGGGGGAATTCAAGAAGAAATGGAAGACCCGGTTCATGGTCAACAACCACAAGCGTCACGCCTTGAACAAGATCTTCCGCATGTTTCAGGGCCAGCAACCTTCACGGGAGTGGCTGACGGAGTGGCAAAGACTCGTCGCCACCCTGGAGTTGAACTTACCGTTCGACGGAATCCGGGCCGAATTCTTCGCTCGGTCATGCGACGCCTTGATAGCTGCTCTCGGCAGCGAATTCCAGTATGAGACCTTTGATGACATGATCTCAAAGGCAAGAGAACTAATCCAAGGTAACCGGCACGCGGCCAACAAGGCCCGCCAACAGCCCGGTTATGTGGAGAAAGGCAAAGGTCAACGGACGCCGCAAGTAGCGGAAGTCCAACAAGGACCTAGTGAGGACCACACAGCCGCGTCTACATCAAGTGACGGAGATGTGGCGGCAGCGATACCACCGCAACGCTCAAGACCTCGAGGGGAAAAACACAAGGCGAAACCAACGTTGGCGGATGGAGCACGACAGTCACCATGGACGAAGTTCGGTATTACCGAAGACATGTTCAAGTTGAGACAAAAATGGGGATGTTGTTTGTGGTGCAACAGCACCAAACACGTCACAAGCACTTGCCTCGACAAGGGCAAGGAAAATGTCAAACGTTCGGGTTCGGGAAACTGAGCACCGTGGGAAATGCAGCGACAGCACTTCCCAATCCGCCGGACTCGGCTGCCTTGCTAGCAGTCCCTCTCACGTCCGGGAACACCGCGGTAGTCGCAAGTTCTCGCATTGATTTTGAGAGCTATGCTGTCGAGCTGGTCCCACCGTTGAACCAGCCTCTCCACGTGCAAGATTCAAGTGCATGCGCGGTAGTTTCGTCGTTAGCCAACGAACCGGTTGCTTCGCCAGCCCTTCTATCGGAGGATCCGTCAACTTGGGCGAGTCTTGAGGAACACCCGTTGATGGTTGAGGACTTCCAATGGTTGCCTCTTCCCTCCACCGCTTCTTTGCCAACATCGCATTGCAACGCCTTAATGGCACATTTGCGCGAGTACTTGCACGCTGCAGTACCACCTCCGTCGACGGACGGGGGAGTAGCGGTTGGCGATCTTTGTAACTATCTAACGAAGATCGACCGCGAGTACGCAACACAACGGTACGTTGACATCGACGCACCGAGCCTCTACATCCGCATTCAGATTGGAAAGGCGACCTGCAGTGCCTTGATCGATTGTGGAGCAACTCGCAACTACATCAGCCAAAACTTCATGGCGCGTGCCGGGGTAGGCCCGCTCGTTCGAAGGAAAAGTCGGCCTACGCACGTCACATTGGTCGATGGTCACACGCAAAAGTCAATCGACTGATGCGTTCACTTGGTGCATGTACTTTGCCCCGCTATCATGCGAGGCCGTGTCATTCGACATATTGGACACTAAGTTCGATATGATCTTAGGCATGTCGTGGCCGCAAAGCGAAGACCATCCGGTGAACTTCTATCGACGCACCGTTCACGTTCGTGATCGGCGTGGCGAATTAGTCCCGTGTACGGTGCCACTTCCTCATCCTTCGATTGGTTGTCACGTGGTCTCCTCGGCGAGCGTTCGCCAATCCATCTGGCGGAACGACATCAAGGAGATGGGCATATGTTTTCTTCACGCCCTCCCACCCGGTGATCAGCCCAAGACGGATATGTCGGACCCACGCATCATTGAGCTGTTGGACAACTATGAGGATGTCTTCCAAGCTCCCGCCGGAGTAGTACCGGATTGGTCCATACGCCACGGGATCCCTCTCGAGGACGGCGCCGTACGTCCGCGCGGATGTATCTACCGCATGAGCGAAGAGGAGCTTCAAGTGCTTTGGGCACAATTGGACGACCTCTTGGCCAAGAGTTGGATTCACCTTAGCTGTTCGCCATACGGTGCCCCCGTTCTCTTTGTCCGGAAGAAGAACAAGGACCTTCGTTTGTGCATCGACTATCGGAAACTTAACGAGCAAACGATCAAGAACGCCGACCCTCTCCCTCGGATCGATGATCTTCTCAAGCGCCTAGGAGGCGCTAAGTACTTCTCGAAGCTTGACCTCAAATCCGACTACCACCAGATCGAGATCCAACCAAGAGATAGGTACAAGACCGCGTTCAAGACGCGATATGGGCACTTTGAGTGGATCGTCATGCCTTTCGGTCTCACCAATGCCCCGGCTACTTTCCAAGCGGCTATTCCGTTAGAATGACGACGGAATTCCGCGACTTGCTCGACCGTATCTTGGTTTATAGTCGGACGCTGGACGAGCACCTTCGCGTCGTGTTGGAGCGGCTCCGTATCGCCAAGTACAAGGCGAACCGTGACAAGTGCGAGTTTGCCCAGCAAGAGTTGGAGTACTTAGGCCATTACGTTACGCCGCAAGGCATTCTTCACGGACAAAGTACAAGCCATTCAAGATTGGTCGGACCTCAAGTGTACTACCGACGTCCGCTCCTTTCTTGGCTTAGCATCTTACTACATGCGGTTCGTCAAAGGGTTTCAACGGATCGCTGCACCATTGTCGCGACTTCAGTCCCCCTTGGTGCCCTTCGAATTCAACGACGAAACCCGACATGCGTTTCACACGCTGAAGACGACTTTGCTCCAAGCTCAAGTCTTAAGCATTTATGACCCGACCTTGCCTACCAAAGTGACTACTGACGGTTCCGGCTACGGCATTGGCGCGGTTTTGGAACAGCATGACGACACAGACTGACATCCGGTTGAGTACTTCAGTCAAAAGATGTCACCCATCAACACTCTTGATGATGCGAGGAAGAAGGAACTACTAGCTTTTGTCACCTTACTTAAGCGTTGGCGTCACTTTTTCCTCGGGTGTCGGCGATTCACGTGGGCAACGAACAACAATCCATTGACTTATTACAAGACGCAAGACACGGTGAGCAGCACGATCGGTCGATGGATGTACTTCATTGACCAGTTCGACTTCACCTCCAAGCACATTTCGGGCTCCTCAAACAAGGCAGCGGATGCTCTCTCGCGAAGACCAGATCTTTGCACCTTGGTGCACTTCACATTCGCCTTGACGAGAACTTGCAACATCATTTCGAAAACGGCTACAAGTCGGATCCGGCATTCTCCACACTCTATGCGGACTTATCATCGGATCACCCGCCGACAAGCAATTATCGCATCGTCGACGGCTACTTGCTTCTCCATACGCGAGGCAAGGACTTGTTGAGTGTTTCCCAAGAGCGCATCTTGCTCACTCGCCTCCTTAACGAATACCACGATTCGCGGCAAGCAAAACACCTTGGCGTCGCACGCACACTCGCACGACTTTACCTGCGATTTTACTGGTCGGACATCATCAGCGCCGTCAAACGGTACATTCAGCCATATACAATTTGCCACCGGAACAAAGGGCGCCATTAGCTCCCGTACGGCAAACTGAAACCATTGTCGATTCCTCGGGAACCAGGTCTTTCCATTGCTATGGATGTGACCGGTCCTTTCCCTCGTGATCGCCTTGGCCATGATGGTATTCTCACGGTCGTTTGAGCAAGTACGCTCGATTTCTTCCATGCAAGTATCATGCGACAGCTCCCGAGCTCACACGACATTTGCATACTGGCTGGTTTTGCAGCCACGGCGTTCCGGAGGACATCGTCAGCGACCGCGACACTCGTTTCATGTCAGTCTTATGGACGACACTCATGGTGGAATCTGGCACCAGCATGAAACCGAGTTCCGCACGGCATCCTCAAACGGATGGGCAAACGGAACGTGCGCACCAAACTGCACAGATGATGCTCTGCACACTCATCAACCCGGATCAGAAGGACAGGGTTGACCGCCTTCCCGACATCGAGTTTGCCTACAACACTTCGGTGCACCTCGCGATTGGCGTGACTCCATTCGAGTTGCGTCACGGTGGACGGAAAGCACGTATCTTCGAAGACATTTTGCTTCCACAGGCTGTCGATATCGACGCCGCTTGCTCCCCCGCTTCTACATGGAAGTACATGGAACTGCTGGCCCGCGCAAACATGCAAAAGGCTCAGGTCCGTATGCAACAGCAAGCGAACCGGCGTCGCATCCCATGTCCAATCCGCGCTGGTGACCTGGTTTGGGTCACCTCCGAGGAATTCGCGCTCGAGCAACATGTCTCGCACAAGCTCCTCCCTAAGTGGTTTGGGACATGGAAGGTCACTTCAGCAGCTGGCGACAACCCCGCGGGTCCATCTTTCATCATTGAGATTCCTCCACATTTGACGGTGTCGGGACTGGTGGGTCCCGAATAACTTCCCATCACTCGAGAGACTGAATACAGACAAATTGTGCACGACAGAGAAATATGGAGCAAGGAGGTAAGCTAATGAAAAGACGAAGGACTAGGCCATCGGAAGGAATGATGTCCTGGGTTGGGAACTGTCGGGAAAATAACCAGCGACGGCAGGCAGTTAAGCGCAAGGACAGGGGAACATAGAACATAGCATGAGGCCGGGAGGGCCGTTGGAATTGAACAAGACTAAGGCCAAAGGGCCCTTGAACCAGCAAATGCGGCACGACAGCGACAAGAGAATGAGGAAGTCGAGAGACGGATGGCTCCGGAGGCCGTAAGGAGCTAGAGAATAAGTGCCCAACATGGGGGCCACCTATGGGAGCCTCGGGTTGGAGGCCCCGCGACCAAAGGAACAGGCGCGCGCAAGGCGCAAGAAAGACAAGGAGTAGGGTCACCGTGGGGCGGCAAAGCGTCCAAGGGACGTGGGACACCTCGAGGAAAGGCACCCGGGGCCACGTGGGACTAAGTAAAATAATGGCATCCGAGGCAAATTGAGTCGGGGACCACCGGCGGGACTAAGTGTCAGGGACCACCCGCCGAACTAAGTGTCGGGGACCGCTGGCGGGACTAAGTGTCGGGGACCACCGACGGGACGAAAGTCTCAAGAGGAAACGGCGGCACCGCATGAGGGAAAAATAATTAAGACAAGGTGCACTGTCAAGACCGAGATCTTGACGACCGAGAATATTAGCACCACTAATGCAAGCGCTAGTGGTAGCAAACGGGAAGGCCAAAAGGAAAAGAAGAAGTAAAGAAACTTGAAGTGGGAGGCATGGAAGCAATCCGAAAAATTTCGGATCAGCGTCCCTCAAGAAAATAGAGTCAAAAGAGACCCCATGAGAGAAATAGGTCTCCGGGAGAAAATCGGAGCAAAAGGGGTCACTGTGGGAGAAAGATAGAAGGAAAAGGAAGCTCCCATGGGCATGGGAAGGCCACTATTGTAGTCCGAGATATAACGGACTGCACCTTGGACGTAGGAAGGGCCAAAACTAAGAGGAAGGGGCTCGAAAAGGGCCTTAACGGCCACTTGACACTTGACATGCTAGGAAAAAGAAAGAAAAGAAAAGAAAATGTGGGAGAATGAGACAAAAAGAGTGAGAGGGGGTGAGTGAGTTGGCAGTCAGTAGGGACTGCCACAAGTAGGGACTGGCAGGTCCCTACTGTCCAATAAAGGAGGAAAAAGAAAAGAAAAGAAAAGAGAAAAGAAAAGAAAAGAGAAAAAGGTCTTAACCTAGGTTACCAATGGTCTGAGGGCCGGTCGTCTACCCCGGACGTCTCCCCCATACGTCCGGTACCCCCATCGTCCGGGAAAAAAAGTTTTTTTTTTCGTAAAAAATAAAATAAAATTATTTTCAGTTTTCGATTTTTAACTCATGATTGACTGCGAATTTGAACATGACTCCAAGGCAAAAGTTGCTTGTATTGTTATGTTACATAACATATATGTTTTCCAGATTTTTTAAGGGTTTTTTTTTTTTTTTTTTTTTTTTTTTTTTT